GAAATCGATATTAAAGAGCGACCGGCCGGAAGGGGAAAATCAGCAGAGAAGGGTTGGAAAAGGGGAAGGAGAGAAAGGTAAAGAGATGGCGCGAAATTGAAATTGCAGGGACCTGCGGGACTGAATCTATAGAGACGGGGGGGAGGGAGAGGATGGAAAAAAAAGAGCGAAAGAGCGGGAGGGGAGACATATGCCGGCGGGAAAATTGAGCGTTTCACCTGCACCAGATTCCATAATTAAAATCAGTCGGTACTCGCGCGCGCGCTCGTCATTGTCCGTATCGCGCGGACATTCAACCCCTTTCCCTCCCTCTCCTCCCCTCTTTCTCTTCTCCCGTGCTCCCCGAGATCGCTGTCGCCCTTTCTGTCCACGGTCGACAACGTCTCTGCGCGCATTTTGCGCTATTTAACGAGAAAACTTTTCAAATCACATTCGCGATTTCGCCCGCAGTCGCATTTTTTACGATCCTTGGTTTGTTCGTTCCTCACAAAAAAATTGCCTTCGACGAATTTAATTGGACGTAACAAATATTTATGCGTTATTATAAATAATTTGGCCACATAAAATTGTATTTTTTTTATATTCTTTATAATTATAGATATATTTTATTATTATTTACGACTCAAGGGAAATTAGTACTCTCAATTTCGAAGACAAATTTAAATTTCAGATGCTGATAATAGTGCGTATCTTTCATTAAAAACACTTTGATATTTTTTTCACCCTTTTTAAGAGGATCAGAGAGAGAGAGGATTTATTAATATAAATAAATTTCGAGTAGTTTATTTTAATTCTGGTCTCACATCTAGAAAAATGTTCTGTAACAGTTTTGTCAGTCAAAAATTAATTTTCATTAAAACTGACGCACCACCTGAATTTACTGAATTTTAAATTTGTATTTATTATTATTATTATTATTATTATTAGAATTATTAGCAATATTATTATTATTAATATTAGAATGCAAATGAATTTCCTTAAACGACAGCATTCACCATGTTAAAATTTCATCTATCTCCTAGCTCCTTAACATACATAAAGAGGAGAAGGAGAAGAAGATGATATTCTAAAGAAGGCTTCGTACGTCCTTCAATCGACTGGAAATGCGGAACTCTTGATATTTAAGTGGCGTCCTTAGAAAGCGAACGGATGGCGCAGAGTCGGAGAAAGGATGCAGGATGAGAACGAAGGAAGGAAGGACGCGAAGTTCCTGCGGGATTTTGAACGGAGCCCTCAAAGTGCCTCGTTATAAATTGTCGCGTAGTCGGCTCCTGATAGGAGCGCGAAATACAGCAAAAGGGAGGAGTGGGATTGAATATAAGTTCGACAATCGGCGGAGTTTCTTTCAGTGGAACAAATTGATTCTGTGAATTAAGCTAACGAATCGCGTTTTGATAGCATCGATTGATATATTTAAAATATGATCGAGGATTCAAGTAATTTGAAAGAAAATGTAATTTAAAAGGGCGAGAGAAAGTATTAAAGGAAGATTAATTGTACAGCTGAAGAAAATCAAATATTAGTGGAGAAATTAATAATCTTTTTTCAATTTTAGTAAAATTATATTACAGAATATTTTTTCAAACAATGTACATATTTGATACACAAAATGATTATATAATTTAAACAAAAAATATGCATATTAATAATTATTTCATAATATAAATATTATATTATGTATTTTTTATCGCATTATTTATTATATTAATTATATTACAATACATGGTTTATTTCATATTCGAATTTTAAAATCTTAAAAAATGTATTGAAATTTTTTCAAAACCGTAAAAATCTCTTTAAGGGGATGCCGGATGTCTGTTTTATCGATCAGATGATTATAGATTTTTCTGCACCGAAATCTTTTTATTGGTTTAATAAAATAATAAATGCTTTTCCATAATTAAAACACGTACAGAAACAAAGTGGGAACCTACTGATTTTATGTTAAAAACAAGAAAAAATTTAAAAACTGAAATTTCTTTATCGATTTCGTCGTCAGATCGAAAAAAATAATTGTTTAATATAAAAGTTCTGCTGTTTGTACGTACAAAATAAGATAGGTTCCGACTAGAAATCGAATGAAGAAGTATTAGTATATTTTTAGATATAAGTTTAAAAGCCTAATAAATAAGAAAACGGTGCAGAAAATTTTCACGCATATGTGTTGTATACGTGCATATGTTTAGACATGTGTGGTGCTAACCTATCATGTGTATATGTGTATACGTGCATATGTTTAGATATATGTGTGGTGCTAACCTATCGGAGTTTGGCCGTCTCTCCGGCATCCCCTTAAAATCGTTGAAAGGATACATGAAATCGAAGAATTCCACGTATTTTTAAGATCGATTAATGCGAGGGAGAATTAAAAATCTGCCAGTGTCTCTCTGAGAATAATCAGATGCAATTCGTTCCTTCGAAGAAGAGCCTTCGGTTTCACTTTAATTTCCAGCCTTTTCCTTTGGCCCCTTCCTTCTCCCATTCCATTCGAAGAAATCTTCCCTTTTGTCTTGTCAAAATTAATTCCTAATCGAATTAGCTCTCTTTCCTGGCGCGGGAACTCGTTAAGGAAGTTGCACCATCCTTTGTGCGATCCAGAGCCTCCGGTTCGTTTCCTCCAATCCTTCCTTCCCTCCCTCCTTCCTTTTGCGTTCTCGAGCTTTTCGCAACTCTAATCGCGTCGAGATAAAAAAGTTCGCGCCGTCGCCGCCGAAGAAATTATCGCGGTTCTCTGTTTGTTCCAACTTTTTCATAAAGCGAAACCGCGCAAAAGTTGCCGCCAGCAAATTTGCGTCGCATACCTCTCCTTTAGAAGCGGAATCTTATCGCCGACAGTGCACTCCTTCCGTGGACGTTTATTTGTTTTTTCCTCAAGAGAAGTTTCGGTATCTCATAGTAGCTTCGAAACCTCCTATATCGGATAGCAATAACATAATTTATCTCTCTTATCGGCTATTCTAAGATAAAACTTCTCCAGGATATTCCGGGAAGAAGTGATATTACGGCGCAGAATGGCTAAATGATACTAGTCTGAGGTCCAAAGTTTATAAAACTGAAAATAAAATTGGAAAAAAAATAATTTTGTATATATAATATACAAAATTATAAAATATATATAAAGTTGTGTTGCGCAAGAAGCCGTCTCGATTTTCATCCACCGGAAATAGCATGTCTCCCCTTCCGCGAGAGCATCTCTTCCCTCGACACGGTAATACTGTTACATTAAAGGTCGGGGGAAAACTTTTAAGTCACTTTTAATGTAAGGTCGACTGTGCCGTTACGCAAACTACTTTCCGCCGTAGGGATAGTACTATTTTCCCCGGTGCTCCTTAAACAAATTTTCAACCATCAACAAGATCCGTGCGGAAAATTCTCCTGAGCACTCCGCGATTTGCGAATGTCAATTACCATTTTAATTTTTATTCATATAGTTATTACTGCTCATTAATAAATTAATTATATTAATTATTTATTACTAATTGTTATAAATATCGCGTGTGCGATCGTGGCACAAAGAGTTGCGCGTTTACTTTCTATGCCCGAGGGTTCGGGGGTTCAAATCCAACAAAACACACCTTACAATTAAGGTTATATATAAGAAGGTTAAGACATCACTCTCAGCTATCCATGATGCTCTGCGATATGTGCCTACCACAACCGCAGTTGATGTGGGCGACTGTTATAACAAGTTAGGTTATATTATTGTCAATATAATATAAATATAAATATTGGTAAATAGGACATACAAATAAATTATAGTTAATAAAATAGTGATATATCTTTCCAATTTCAATTATCAATTTCAAATCACGTAATGTATCACGGGTAGCTGTGGGAAATACATAGGCTAATAGGATGTCTTAACCTTCTTAGGCCTCATTGTACCAACATTATTTCAGTTTTAAATGAGACTTACATTTGTATCTATCTTTATCTTTCTTTCTAAATAAATACAGACAAACATATATATATTTAAGTTTCGCTTAAAATCAAAATGACACTGCAATCGAGCCTTATATATACACATATAACCTTACTTATAATTAAGATCTATTTGTCCGCCATCTCTTGGCAAAATATGTAAAACTGTAGGTCTCTAATGAATGTGTCTGCGGAAAGACTACAAAAAGGCGAACAGATATAGATATAGGGGAATTACCACTCTTTGTCAAGAGGTGGACGGACTGAAGAGAGATATTTAACATACATATTATATTATTAACAAATAATCATGTTTTCAAGAACTATTTCCTCTCTCATATAAAATTTAGCAAAACTGTTAGACACGCAAATCGACATTTCTACTCTCACGACAAAATTATTCCCAAGAATGGGGAGAAAGCAGAGAATATCCCACGCGTGTGATACGCGACCCACATGAAGACGATGCACGAACGTTCGTTTTCAGGGTCAGCGGGTTAATTCCCAAAGGGGTGACTGATCCGATCTGGCCACGAAAAGCCTAAGGTACGAAAGATAGAAAGTGGAATACAGAAATACAGTGTCCCTGAACTGGAGATGTCTCCTATATATATTCCACTTTCTAGTTTTCGCACCTTAGACCTTTCCTAGAGAGATGTATACAAATACATAATAATCAAACCGGTAATTTTGTTATTAACTGAATTTTATTAACTGATTTCAAAAATTAAAACAGATACGATATCTTTGGGATATCTCTTCTTAAAGAAAACCTTGCTTGGTCAAAAAATATGGATTAGAAATGTGTTTCAGCTATTTACAGCTTTTACAGCCTTTATGAGACCCTAAACACATTTTGCTAAATACATTTCGCTAAATACATTTCGCTAAATCACCAATATTTTCGGGATAAATCAATCAGTGAAAAGACCGGAGGTAAGAACTTGGTTGGCAATTCGATTTCACAACAGGACCCAAGGGACTAATGGCGAGTTTGTCCCCTGTTCTTCGTCCTTTGGCCTTCTTTTTATCCCGTTTCAATCTTTCTTTTCAGATCACGCTCAATTTAATTCACTTACCGTGAAGGGCCTTTAGATATGCCTTGCCTGCATTAATCAGCTGTCTGGCGCCAGGGTTGAACTTGTCCAAGATGTTCTAAAAAATAGCAAAAAATATTTCACATTAAGTTAAGCTCAAATATGCTGAAAATTGAAAGTATAATTTTTTATTTCTTATAGTGATATATATATATATATATAATTTGAATGTAAGACTCTTTCTTAATTGTATCACTTCATTGTGAATACTACATTTCATTTTTACAATTTATTTTATAACATTTGTAAATTACTCTAATGAATTACACAAATATTTATTTTAACCATTATTTTAATAAAAAGATTTATTTTATCACTATAAACAAATATATATATATATATATATATATACATATATAGCTTGTAAATTTGTGTCACTGGTAGATAATTAAGATTCTTGTGTGGTAAAAATAGAACAGATTATTATTTTATAACAGAAAATGCCTTAAGAAATGAATAAATTATTTGTGTAAATAGAACAGTTTAATAAAAAGAAAGACATAAAAAAATTATAATTTTTCTTTATTGACGTTAAATACGATTTTGGAAAATTGCAAAAATAAATTATTTTTATAATTTAATTAATTTTGGCCGTGACCAAATAAAATTTGGTGCCTTGTGCACAGGTAATTAATTCTAACGGAAAAAATTTTAATTTCGTTGGGATAACGCACTGTCATCCGCAATTTGGCTCTTTTTTATTGCCTGTCTTACATTTTAAATTTATATTTATATTACAGAGCCTTGTTAAACTCTTAAATTAATTAATTTTAATAAAAAAATTTAATAAATTATTTTCAAATAATATTTATATTCGCTCGTATATTGTTAACAACAAGAAACTTATTTAAAGACCAACGTAACGAGCACTTATTAAGATGATATAAAATAAACGATTTATTCAATCTATATTACAAACAAACGTTTCGACTGCACGCAGCCTTCTTCAGTAAAAAATTCAATTCAAATCAATATATGTAACATATCTTAAAGTTATATAAAGTAATAGTCTTTCGTTAATATGAGTCGGAAATTGAAACAAATATAATATATATCTCGCTGAACTTGTGCATAATATACAACTTATGATGCGACAACATTTAAAATGTTGGAAAGATTCCGTACAATTTCTTCATTTCTATGTGAGAAATCGTTGTTGTCAACCCCACTATGATTACTAAATAAATAAATTAATTAATACTGTGTCACAAGTTAAAATAGTAATAAAAATCACACGCTTACTTATAATATATGTTGTTCTTCACTGAAATTCACGTATGACAAGACCTCTCATTTCCAACCGTGCTCTATCTTAGTTATGTATGTATTATATAGGTTTGATCTGAGAATGTCTCTGACGATCTATTTGTCTAATGTGTTTACATTAAATGTTTGCTATTATGTCTAGAATATCAAAGTAAGATTCGCTAAGTAATTCGGTATCTTTATTTAAATTCAAACCATTTTTTGTTCCTTAATATGTAACATCTCGGAGATGAGTCTTTTATGATAATTAATTTCACTATCTAAAATTTTAACATTATTCCAATCAAAGGTATATGCTGTTTATTTAATATGTGTTCAGAAATTACCGAATGTCTAATCGAATCTAATTTAATATTGTTTCTATGCTCTTTCACTCTAGTCTGCAGTTGTCTCTTCGTTTGTCCTACATAAGATGCGTTACAATCATTACAGTTTATCCTATACACTACATTTGAGTTACATTTGAGTGTTCATTTTTATCTCTATGTGTCTTAATGATTTTGTCAAGTTTATTAAAACATCTGTATTCTATTATGAGGTCCTTATTTTTAACCGATGAAACAATCATTTCTGATATTTTGTTAGTGTATGGAATAACAAATAATTTTTTATGTACAGATTCATTATCTGAATTATCTGTTTGTTTTGCGGACCCCCATGGGCTTCCCATTGTCCCCGATTATAGCTGATTTGGTTATGCAGGATTTAGAGGACACTGTTTTGAAATCGTCAAACATCAGCTGCACTTTTTATTTTCGATACGTTGATGACATAATATTGGCCACTTCTGGTGAGAACTTGAATCTAATCGTAAATTTCTTTAATAATTATCACGATAGACTTAAATTTACTGCTGAACGGGAGGTTAACCGTAGCCTGAGTTTTTTAGACTTGTTAATTAAAATAAAAAATAACATGATACATATAGATTGGTATCAAAAAGATACTTTTTCAGGAAGAACTCTATCATTCTTTTCTTATCATCCATTGTGCCACAAGATTGATATAATTTACAACTTAGTAGATACATGTTTATTATTATCGCATCCACAATTTTTTGACAAAAATTTGGAATTAATTATTAGCATACTAATAAGTAACGGTTATCCTCTTGATTTCATTTTCAACAAGATTAACCATCGGATAGGACATCTCATTTCCAAGAAAAGTATTTTATCTAATTTATCATATTAACTATAGTATGTGATGTGTTGGAAAAATTTTGTTATAATCAAAGTACTGTTAGAACTTTCAACTTTCCAAGAGAAGTTTGTCGATTAATAAAATATTCATTGTTGTATCATCTATTGTGGAAAAGTTGCGAATGAGATAACTAAAAATCCAGCAAATAATTTTTAATTATATATTTAGTTAAACTTAAAAATTCATAAATAACACTAGCGTTAAATTGGTGGCACAATACTCATCTTTGAATGTAATTATCATTTTAAAATCGATTCCTGGTCTTTATCGATGGAGAAGTTATAATGGACTTCTGATTGAGATAGTGAATACAGAAATTGTTTAGGAGTAGACAACTGATAGCGCGATAGCATAAATTGCCTATCAAACTTTAGGCACATTCACGAAACTTGGCTACTGAAGTTCGAAGTATGGAGGATTGAGAATGTAGGGTTTAAGAATCAAACTCTTTCGTGTATCACATTCCTCCAATCTTCTAATCTTAGCTTCACAATATATTTCTAACATTATAAAAAGTTTAAAAATTTTGATTAAGTCAGCTTTTGAATTAAGATTCATGTTTTTTTCTTAAATTTTCAAAAAATTGCTACAAGTTTAGGTAAATTTTAGGTTAGATCTAAAACTAGCGTAAAGTTTTAGTTTAAACTTAAGTGTCTTAATTAAAGAAAATTTAGCCCGACTCTCCGAAGGCTATATATACATCTTGTAGTCCTGGTTAAGTCAACCTTTAAGATTGATATTTTCCCGTTAAAAAGAAAACAAAAAAAAAACATCCAAGGCATCGCTTCGTCGCTTCCTTCGAGGCAGTTTCCGCCATATTGCCCCGACGTCTCGACGGCAAGTCAGGCGTCGTTCCGGAAGTGAAACCTGGTTTGGGGTTTCCTTTCCTTTCGGCGCGTCGCGTCGCCCGTCGAAGTTAAGGTGGCACTCACGAGGCGTAACTCTGTTGATGCGGTTACGATGTATCGATCCTGGTAAGAGCGTGACGGCTAAATTAAACTCGGCTCAACCCCAGCTTTCCGTATCGCCTTCGGGCGAGAAGGGGTTGAGGGCTGGGTATAAGAAGGGGCCATCGCGCGTCAGGTGCGTCGGAAGGTATAACGATGACGTCGTCGACCCGATGGCGCGTCAATTATTTCCGCGTTTCGTATTACCCTGAAAATTTACATCGCTGCTCGCGAAAGCCAGAGCGCGTTCTTACGATCTCTGCGACTTCATTAGCGATTCGCGAAATCAATTTACCGCCAGCACGACCGGCATTTACATACGTATATATACATATATATATATATATATATATATATATATATATATATTTCTGTTCAGTTTAATTTATACATTTGAATGTGCGCTTAATCTCTGGTCGGGTGCAAAAATAAAAATGATCTTGAAATAACCTTGATAATTCTCGTCTAGTCTATCTTTACATTTATAAACTTTGTCTAATATAAAAGAGTTTTTCGTAAAATTGCAACTTTTAGATATGTTTAATTAATTTGTTCAAAATTGTTTCAGCCTCTATATTTCTTGTTTTATATAGAAAGATTTTTTTATAAAACTTATAAATATTAAAATACAGAATAAGTTTCTGTAATAAAATAGTTTAAATAGCCCAATTTACAAAAATGACCTTGAAATGACCTTCAAAATCGCTATTCACAATTATATAAGAAATAACAATGCCAAAGATAGTTTCTCCTAACACCCTATAAATTTTCTCATTAAAATTCAGTTTTTAGAGAGATAACTGATTAATTTACTTAAAATGGTTCATTTTATACAATATATGTATAGCAAAGAAGAGCAGAGGTTTAATAGGATAAATAGCCATAAGCCTTTCTTCGAGAACAGGATCGCATATTATTTATATATATATATACTATATATATAATTACTGATGCAAGTTCTGAATGATCTTGCAAATCAGATTTGGAATATCTCCATTGAGAAAAAGGGGAAAGGAACGATATTACGGTGGTACACAAACCGGTCACATTCTTACATAAGTTTGACGTGCGTCGGGACGCTGCGGGGCAAAATCGCCGTTGTCGTAGAGGAATGTATACGGGGTGAACGAACGATAGAGAATCGACTGGTGGTCCTCTCTCTCTCTCTCACTCCATTCCGCTGCGAGATGAAATATCTCGTAGCGGTATGCGCGCGTATATAACACGTATGTACGTAGATACATATAGGTACGCGTCGGTCGAGCCCATTAAGCCGCGCGTGCCAGGACTCAACGATGCATTACGCAAACGCGGTCGGACCCTGGAATTCGCCGTAATTTTCTCTCGAGAATTATGCTTTTCCCTCTTATTTATTTTTTTTCAAATTTCTGCGCATTACGAAAGAGCGACAGGAACTTTCGCGTAACTTTTGCACTTCGAGATCGCATAACTTCCCTAACAGCACACATATCCCGAAAACGTTCAGAGAACATTTTGAGGATGTTTTCTGGATATCCTCCGGATATGCTCTGAACGTCTTTCGGATATGGTGTGCTGTTAGGGAACTTTTCACTGCGTTCGGCTTTTTTGTCGCTTAAAAGACGACTTTATCGTTGATTTGCCTTTTGTTATTGACGTCATT